CCATGGCGATTCATGCCGCTCACACATCACGCATGACGTAACTCTTCCACACGCCCACACACCACTTGCTCTCCATCCTTCCCACACTCACGCTTACCACATACTGAATAGGGCTTCATCTACTGTATGTCGTGTGTGTGGATTTGCATGCGAATGTGGGGGCGGGGTGGGTTGTGGGAGGCCATGTGTCCATTAAGAAATTCTAGATAAAGCCTTTCCTTCGATGATTAGTAATCACAGCTCGTGAATTATCTTTTTTTTATAACAGGAGGGTGACATCTATGGAGGTGTTTTTTTTTTTTTTTCATTCTCCTCCTTCTTCTTGCCATAAAATCAAGTTTTCTAAACCTCCAGATTGTATTCTGCAACAGCAAACTTTCACTTTGTCCTGTTTAAAGTTTTTTTTGTGACATTTTACAAAGTTGCGTAAACACAGACAAATGCTTTGCAGAGATCGTGGTCAGTTAACGGTTGGACAGAAGTCCCAGCGTGTCTATTCATCTGGCCTTGAGCTTGAAGAAGGAGAGAAGAGAGCCAGCTAGTTTTTTATCACTCTGACAGCGGCACAGGATAAGATTGCCCAGATTGTCTCTTCACATCACATCTGCTTTGTAGAAAAACTCTTGTGGGAGCAATGCCAGGATAAGGAGGCCAGCACAGGAAGAAGAGACAGGTTACATGGACTAAAGAGGTGCTTTGTGTCCGTGGGTGTTCACTTCCTATTACGTACATCTCTATTAGGTATTCTATAAACTAAAATGCAACCAACAGCAACAATTAACTCCGACCCAAGAGGACATGTCTAGACGGTGTATGCAAAGTGAGGGAATTGCTGGAGAAAGGTGTCTGGCCCAAAATGTGTTTATGCTGAGTAAAGTAAATAAATTATGGCATTACCTGTAGACATTTTGCTTTACAATCCTATCAACTGATATCCAAATCTGGGAGCTGTGTGGATTAAATCCAGCATTGTGTGCCAGGCGGAGCAGATCTGGAGGCAAGTCTGTGTGGAGGGAGCAATTAGGTTTGCTAAACTGACAAAGAGAAAGAAATATGAAAAGGGAATTTCAATGATAGTTCTGAGATGTATTGATTTCTACTGAAATGGGTTGTGTTACTGTGTGCGCTCGCACTTAGACAGGGTTGATAGATGGATGACGTTTAAGATATGTAAAATGGAGATGGATGATCTATCATTGTCTGGATGACAATATTTCTTGTTCGATCGTATCAGGTATAGACGAATGTATTCATAAAGACAAAGCGGGCACATGACCAGCTCATTCTGAGAGATGAAATGAACACACACATACGCATATGGATGTGTATTTGGAATAGAGCTGCAACTAATAATAATTTTTTACTGTTGATTGATTTGTCGCTTGTTTCCTTGATTATTAGATTATTTGTTTGGTCTATGAAATGTCAGGAAATGGTGAGAAATGTTCATCACTGTTTCCCAAAGTGCAAAATGACGTCATCAAATGTCCCAATGATAGTCAGTTTACTGTCATAGAGGAATGAAGAATCCATCCACATCTAAAAGCTGGAATCAGAGAATTTTGTCTGTTTTTCTTTCAAAAAAATGACTCAAACTGATAGATAATGGATAATCAAATTAGTTGCTGGTATTTTAATAGTTGATAATGACTCGACAAATCAATTAATCGATTAATCGCTGCAGCTCTAATTTGGAATAGACTATAAAAAGACAGAAGTGCCTACAAACAATCCATGATGAATTTTTTCCTTACTTGCAATGTGTCAATATACGCTCACTGGCCACTTTATTAGGTACACCTTGCTAGTACCAGGTTGGACCCCTTTTGCCTTCAGAGCTGCCTCAATTCTTGGTGGCATACATGTAGATTCAACAAGGTGCTGGAAACACTCCTCAAAGATTTTGGTCCATACTGACATGATTGCATCACGCAGTTGCTGCAGATTTGTCGGCTGCACATCCCAAAGGTGCTCTATTGGATTGAGATCTGGTGACTGTGGAGGCCTTTGGAGTACAGTGAACTCATTGTCATGCTCAAGAAACCAGTTTGAGATGATTTGAGCTTTGTGACATGGTGCGTTATCCTGCTGGAAGTAGCCATCAGAAGATGAGTACACTGTGGTCATAAAGGGATGGACACAGTCAGCAACAATACTCAGGTAGGCTGTGGTGTTTAAACCATGCTCAGTTGGTACTAAGGGGCCCAAAGTGTGCCAAGAAAATATCCCCCACACCATTACACCTCCACCACCAGCCTGAACCGTTGATACAAGGCAGGATGGATCCATGCTTTATGTTGTTTACACCAAATTCTGACCCTACCATCTGAATGTTGCAGCAGAAATCGAGACTCATCAGACCAGGCGACGTTTTTTCCCATCTTCTGTTGTCCGGTATTGGTGAGCCAGTGTGAACTGTAACCTCAGTTTCCTGTTCTCAGCTGACAGGAGTGGCACCTGGTGTGGTCTTCTGCTGCTGTAGCCCATCTGCTTCAAGGTTTGACATGTTGTTGGTTCAGAGATGGTCTTCTGCAAACCTTGGTTGTAACGAGAGGTTACAGTTGCCTATCATCTTGAACCAGTCTGGCCATTCTCCTCTGACCTCCGGCATCAACAAGGCATTTTCACCTAGAGAACTGCTGCTCACTGGGTATTTTCTCTTTTTGGGACCATCCTCTGTAAACCCTAGAGATGGTTGTGTGTGAAAATCCCAGTAGATCAGCAGTTTCTGACAGACCAGCCCATCTGGCACCAACAACCATGCTACATTCAGAGTCACTTAAATCACCTTTCTTCTCCATTCTGATGCTCAGTTTGAACTTCAGCAGGTCGTCTTGAACAGGTGTACCTAATAAAGTGGCCAGTGAGTGTATTTCCAGTGTACATTATAGAACAGAAAAAATCACAATAGATTGTGGTGTTTTATAGGCTATCATGTGAAATGGAATTCAAAGTGATATCCCTCTTATGGCTCAGCACACTTGGGGCTAAACTCACATTAGCCCTCTATACTCCTCATGATCACTGCAGTGACATTTCAAATATGTCACTGACGCTGAGAAAATGTGCAACCTATCACGCAGGATGGTAAATCTTAAGGTCTTCGACGCCGATAACACGTGACTCCGGGGGAAATAAATCGCCCTGTCCCCTTTAATTTCAATTTCCGTGCGTGATATATATTGTGATCACCTGTCAGATGCGGCGCCTGCGCACTGCTGCGGGAGGCGGAGTGGATGCTGATCGCTCTCTATCTGCTGCCCTGTGCCCTCCATCCCTCGGCGATCAGACAGTCACGGACGAGAGGGGGATATCCGAGGGAGCTTTGGGGCGAGGACAGGGAGGCAGATCTGCTGTTGTTGAAGGTACGGTTTCCCCATTCGCTTTCACTGGAATGCCGCGCCTCGGCTTTTGACATTGTGACCGTGGAGGGTGAAGGATGCTCGGCTGCAGGATGGGAGGAGATGAGTAAGGGGGGACACGGCGCGGAAAACAGATGGTATTTCGGGAGATGCCACCGATGACATGGCTTTTGACGGGTGTCCAAGCTGATTTATGATGCGTTCAAATCATTCCGGATCGTACAACATTTAGACTTTTGCGATTTCTGAACAGACTCCTGGTCAAGGGCACACAAATAGGTGATAATCTGTTTTTTTTTCTCCGCTCACCAGTGTGCACGGAGCTGTCATCACCTCGTACCCTTTGCGGACTAACGTGTTACAGTGGTAATGCATGCTGCTTTTTCATTATGGTAAAAAAAAAAACCCGCTGTGGATACATCCCACTTAACCGCCTATGGGTGCTGTCAGTGGGCTGAGCGTAGTATCCTTCATCTGTTACGTATAAAAATAACAGCTGATCACAGAGCTGCACAGCCCTTTATGTTGCTTTTTATAAAGGAAAAGTATCAGTATTCACTTCCCATGCGTTATTTGATGGGCCCCTACCCGGATGTGCCTGCAGTTTCTCCAGAGAGCGCGCTAGATTTCCTGTGTTTACTCGTCTCGCTGCTGTAAAACATGTCCTGCATGAGATTTCCCACTCCCCGACACTCGGTGCCATTTGGGTGATGAATGACACGGAAACCCCGAGGATGCGGTTAGCAGAGAAAGTCGAATTCTTTTACTGTGGAAGAAAAATAGTAAGTCCACCTTGAATGGTCATTTGAATTGGGATTTATAGTAGCCGGGTGCATTGAGAGCGATATCCGCCTCCTGTGTTGCACATTGCTCTGTATTGTATTGCCTGCTGAAAGGGATCTGTGAGGTTTGTGTACGCTGTGATCAACAGAGCGGCTCTGACCCTCTCCATGGTCCTGAAAGCAACAGTCGGAGCGGAGTAAATCAAAGTGTGGCTGAATCATTAATGGCTTTCTCCATATAGAGGTGACGATTGCTATGCAAATGATCATCGTTTCATCCGGGGTGGGAGTAAATTTTATTTATCAAGCACCGTGCTGTGACAAAGACGCAGTTTACAGTGTTTTCTAATGTAAATTCCTCCATCCAAACCCCACCATAGTGACTGAGTGATATCATGTTTCCTCTGCATCCATTACACTTTAGCACGGTGTTGCAGCAGCAGGTTTTTACTTTGTGTACCAGACAGCATATTAGCTCAGACACGACTGCGAATGTGCTTCACAAATTCTCATGCTCTCTTTCATTATCCTTCCCTCATGTCTTGTTCCCTGTCATCTCACACTTATCCTTTTGTCTGTTTCTTGTGCATTTAGGAAGTCTGATGTAGATGCTGAGCCAGAGGAGAGCCCAGGGAGCAGCAGCAGCAGCAGCAGCAGCAGCAGTAGCAGCATTGGGGCTGTAGATGCCCTCTCCACAGCTCCGGCCCCAGCCCCTCTCCAGGCCTCTGCGGGAGAGCCAGGACAGAGAGGAGACAGCTCCTGCTCTGACTCCGACAGTCCTGTAGAATCCAGCTCCTGCGAGGAGGACGAGGAGGACGAGGAGGAGGAGGAAGAGGAGGAGGACGAAGACCCCACTATGTTCTCCTCCAAATTCCTTAGCGGGGCCAACCCCCTCAATGCTGTGTCCTCTGCTGTGAATAAGTTTGGGTTATTTGGAGATGAAGGCGAGGGGGATAAGAAAGCACCTTCCCAGCAGGGGGTGAAGCCATCTGGAGAACAGCAGCCAGGAGCAGGCTTTGGCAAGGGCCCCCAACAGCAGCAGGGAGCCCAAAAATCAGGCCAGGGCCCCCCTGTGCAAAAGGGCCAGCCTCCCCCGAAACAAGGATCACCACAGCTGCAAGGTAATGGACAGGCTGGACCCCCAAACAAACCTGGTGGGCAACAAGCTGCTCCAAAGGCAGGGACACAGCCTGGAGGCCAGCTTAAAGGAGAGCCACAGAAAAATCAACCTAAGGGCCCACCACAGCAAGGCTCACCTAAACCTGGAGCTCAACAACCGACTGTGACCAAGAGTGGAGCACAGCCAGGATCTCCAAAGGCAGCGTCACAACAACAGGCTCCACCTAAGACAGGGATGCAACAACAAGGGCCTGCTAAGACTGGTGCACAGCAGCAGCAACAACCTGCAAAGACTGGAGTGCAAGGCTCACAGCAAGGGTCACCTAAAGTAGGACAGCAACAACAGGGGTCACCAAGAATTGGACAACAACAGCAACAACAGGGCTCACCAAAACTTTCACAGCAACAACAGGGCTCATCTAAGGTGGGGCAACAACAGCAAGGCATCAGGACTGCACCCCAGCAGCAGTCGTCTGATAAACCTGCACATCAGAAACAAGGGCCTAAGGGACCTGGTACACCTGACCTGTCACGGGCGGGGTCCTCATCACCGGGACCAACTAAAGCTGGATCTCAGGCAAAAGCAGCAGCTAAGTCCCTTTGCCCAGTGTGTAAAACAACAGAACTTAATATGCACATCAAGGAACCACCGAATCATAAAACCTGTACACAGTGTAGAACCCAAGTGTGCAGCTTGTGTGGCTTCAGTCCTCCAGATTCTGACGTAAGTAGAAATTTGCTTATGTGTCATTTCTCTTATGTATTCTTATGCTATTATAAGTCTATGAAGTATGAATGCTATTACTACAGTTCTCATTGACAACTGAAAATTATTATGCTATTCAGTGCAGTCATAGTAGTGCAGTCTTAAGTGATGAAAGTTCATTATCCATGACGCTTTACTGCATATATAATTTAGATTTGCAATTACGCACTGCATATTATCTAAGATATATGCTAATTATACAATAGCATCATCTCTCTCAGGCTGTCTTGAATTAAGATAAAATAACAATGGTTGTTTTGCATTGGCATGGCTAGATTGGTGTTTAAAGTTACACTATGCAGGACACATTAGCCAAGGTGAAAGTGAAAGTAAAAACCGATCCCAAATTCACTCTCTTTTGGTGTATCGCCTTGCTATATTTGTGTCTTTTGGCACTGTGTCTCTTGATGCCAGCTGGTCTCTACCTTTTTATACAGCCCCGACCTCACCTGCGCACTGTGGGGGTACACACCCCATCACACACTTCTAGAGGGTCATAAGTGATGATTACAATAAATTACTTTTGTATGAGTATATGTTGTATAGACATTGTTTTTTAGGGAAAATCCTGCATAGTTTACCTATAAGTTCATTGTTATAGGTTATAACATTTGTTTGTGATGCCACTTAACTAATTTTGCGCATTGATATGTAATCATTGTGAAAATGTCTGTATCTTTTTATTTTTGAACAGGGGCGTGAGTGGCTTTGTCTCACCTGCCAGATACAAAGAGCCCAAGGAGCCCCTGAACCATTGGGACCTTCCATGAAGAAGCCGACGCCCAACAAAGCTCCTGCTCCTCAAAACCGGACACCATCTCCTGCTGCACCTGTCAAAAAAGAGATGTCAGCACCAGGTTCACCTCAGAAAATGCGGTCTACATCAGCAAAAGTGCCAGCCAAGGGTGAAGCTGCCAAAGGACCAGAAAGTCAAAAACAGGCCAGTCCAGCTCCTGTTCAGAAAATGACACCCGAGACCCAGCGAACATTAGGGTCTCAAAAACCAGACCAGACTAGTCAAAGTGGACGCAAGCAAAGCAGCGCCCAGCAGGAGTCAGGGGGATTATTTGGCTTTGGTGGTGCTAAAACTGAACCTGCGAAGCCCGAAGAGTCGGTGACTGGGAAGATGTTTGGTTTTGGCTCCTCCATTTTCAGTTCTGCATCTACTTTAATGGCTTCAGCTGTTCAGAATGAGCCTAAAACCACACCACCAGTTTCTCCCAAAATGCAGTCTGCAAAGGAGACCAAACCAGCTCCTGTCCAAAAGCCAGCGCAAGACAAGAAACAAGAGCAACCCCAGCAGGCAAAGGCGAATCCACCAGGACAGGTCAAAGTGGACAAAGCACCATCGGAAACTCAAAAGGCAGCAACAGCCTCCCACAACGTTCCTAAAGGAGGTCAATCCACTTGTCCGCTGTGTAAGGTGGCGCTCAATATGGGCTCAAAGGATCCTCCCAACTACAACACCTGCACTGAATGCAAAAGCATTGTCTGCAACCAATGTGGATTTAACCCCATGCCAAATGTCAATGAGGTAAGACACACATTATATTGACTGAATTAAGTAATGAATGAATAAAGAAGAGATCTCAGTGATTAAATACACCACCATACCAATTTATAAATTTGGAAGCAAAGTGCTTCTGTTTCCTGGTATAGTTCCTGTTCCCTGATTCAGTTCAGTTACAGTATGGCCAAAAATATCTCCAAAGTGTTCATTACTTAGATTCAGAACTCCAGCCTGCTCATAATATTTGTGAATTAAGCTTCTTGAAGCTGTTAAGTTCCCTTTTGATGTTTAGAGTGGTTGTTTGGAGTGTTATTCCCCAATGTCATAACTCATTTACATGAACAGACGACATGGCAGCAGTCATTTTAAGGTTACAGAGTTCAAGTCAGTAGTAAAAAAAAACATTTCTCATGAAATAAGAGTCGTATTTGCCTCTCTGTTCAGACCTGTTAATGCTGTGAATGTCCAATCCTCAGACTAAATTGGCAAAGCTGTGAAGCTATTTTAATTTCATATCCTACTAGGGGTGGGGAAAAAAATCGATACAGCAAAGTATTGCGATATTTTTGTGTGGCAATATTGTGACACAGTGCCAAGTATCGATTTTTTTATTATATAAATTCTTAATTTTACAAATTAAACTTTAGGTAGCCTAATTTGATAATAATATCAGTTGCTTTTTTAGTCCACTAGATACATTTTGCTGCAAAATGACTTAAGTGAGATAGACGGACTGAAATATTGTCTTATTAGATAAACCAGATGTTGACAAAGTTTTACTTTGGGGACATTATTTGCAGTTGAAAACAGGTAATAAATCACAATATATCACAATATATTTTATCGCAACACTCAGAATATCGCAACATATTTAAAAACTCAATAATATTGTATGGTGACTAAAGTATCGTGATAATACCGTATTGTGTAGCCTCTGGTGATTCCCACCCCTATATTCTGCACACACAGTGCCTCTAGTCACTAAACAGTGACATGGCTATGTGTCAGACCCTTTGGCAGATGAGGGCCACACTCGCACACAAAAGCAACTTCACACACCTGTTTTTCCCCTATAGTCTTATAGCTCATTGTAAAAAAGGAGTGCTGTGAATCACATGTTCTATTGGGGGTGGGGGGGCTTGGTTAGTTTTTAGAGAATTGATCCATGATTCTTAGAAAACGGTTTATCAGCTGTTGGTGACCATGTTAAATACTGTAGAGCATCAGTTTAAAAGCTGTATGCAGGCTGTATGCCTGTATGCCCCCCCCCCCCACACACACACACACCTCGTGGGGATTGCCTTGTAGGGAATACCAAATACAAGGTAAATGGACATGGCATACTGAAGCACAGAGAACTTGACACATGACTCTGTAATTCAATGCACAGTTAGTAGGCTACCTTGCCAAGGACATTCCAAGGCTACTTGATCTCGTGATACTGCTTAAACTAATGGCTAAAATAGTAGTGAACCAAGATCAGGATGGAGAGATGCTTTTGTGCATTTTGTGAGCACTCTGTGAAAGTGGATGTTTTAACATGTGTAGTCTGAACCACTAAAACATTGGCAGGACTGTCACTTGGCTTACTTTTTTATAAGCTGGCATTTTTGTGATGAATGAATTAGTTGATTAAATTAAAGACATTTAATTAAATACAAACATCGGATATGCACTTTTCTTAAATACTGTAGTAAAGAGTGGGTGTTACCAAAAGCATAAACAAGGAGTGTGTCGTGTGTTTCTCACATCATGCAGCTTATCAAGATTACACATGCCTCATTAGTCCCAGTATTTGGAGTTACCCAGTCCTGTTTTCATCTAAATTGCTGTAGTCACCCACAGAATCTGGTTTTTGTATCCCATGATTTTGTGTGTGTTGTTTGTGTGTGTTTCTGTTCAGAATAGGGCACCTGAGCTCCTAGCATTTTTAAGTTTAGTGCTTTCATTGTGATTTGTTATTATTAAAATATGTACCTGCATAATTTGTTTCTTTGTTGTGTTTTTTAAGGGAAAGGAGTGGCTTTGTCTAAACTGTCAGGTGAAACGAGCTGCTGGTGGAATTGAACCTCAAAAGGACACATCTGCGTTTAATGCGCTACAAAAGACTTCTGTGCCAGGTTTGCCTCAGAGGAAAGTATCTTCACCTGCAGCACAACCAGCCAAGGCTGGAGCTGCTAAAGGACCAGACAGTAAACAGGCCAGCCCTGCTCCGGGTCAGAAAACACCTCAGGAGACCCGGAAGACAGGTCCTCAGAAACCACCAGACCAGACAAGCCAAACTGCACAAAAGCAGGGAAATGCCACAACAGCTACAAAGCAAGAGTCAGGAGGGTTCTTTGGTTTTGGGGGTCCTAAAAGTCAGCCTGATGCTGTAAAGCCTGCAGAATCAGCGGCTGGGAAAATGTTTGGTTTTGGTTCCTCCATCTTGAGTTCTGCATCTACTTTGATCACCTCAGCTGAACCCAAAACTACACCACCAGTTTCTCCGAAAATGCCTGCTGCAAAGGACTCCACGCCGCCCACTGCCAAGAAACCAGAACAGGAGAAGAAACCAGAACAACCCCAGCAGGCCAAGGGTCCTCCATCAGAGCCGCCAAAGAAAGCATCAGCTTCCCCAGTAGTTTCCAAAGCAGGCCAGTCTACCTGTCCTCTCTGTAAACTCAAACTCAATGTGGGCTCTAAAGATCCTCCCAACTACAACACCTGTACAGAGTGCAAAAACACTGTCTGCAACCAGTGTGGATTTAACCCCATGCCAAATGTTAAAGAGGTAAGAAAAGAACACAGTAGATTACAGAAACATTACTTTAACAATGATTTTTACATCATGTATTTTTATCAATAACGTAATATATTGTTAGAGTTAAAACACCTTCACGATAAAACAACACCAATCTAAATGTCACTAATGATCTGTTTGCTCTATTATAGGTAAACGAGTGGTTATGTCTTAACTGCCAGATGCAGAGAGCTCTAGGAGCATCTGAGCCTCCGGGAACTCCCATGATGAAACTACAGGCCTCACCAAATAAAGTCCCTGCTCCTGCCAATGCTATAAATAAGGAAACTCCCCCATTAGATAAACCCCAAAAGAAAGACATTCAAACACCTGCTGAATCTAAAGCAAAGGAGACAGCTGCACCAGGATCTCCTCAGAGAAAACCATCAACACCAGCAGCAGGGCAGCCAGCAAAGGCTGAAGTCGTGAAAGGACCAGAAAGTCAGAAACAGGTCAGCCCAGCTCCTGGTCAGAAAACTCCACAGGAGATTCGAAAGACAGGTCCTCAGAAACCATCAGACCAGACAAGTCAAACTGGACGTAAGCAGAGTAATACTACCTCAACTACACAAGAGGAATCTGGGGGGTTCTTTGGATTTGGTGGTACTAAACCTCAGCCTGATGCTGCAAAGCCTGCTGAATCCCTGGGTGGAAAAATGTTTGGCTTTGGTTCCTCCATCTTCAGTTCTGCATCCAATTTAATAAACACAGCTGTGCAAGATGAGTCCAAAACGACACCACCAGTTTCTCCCAAGATGGCAGCCGCAAAGGCACCTAAATCTCCAGTTTCTCAGAAACAAGAGCAAGAGAAGAAACTAGAGCCCAAGACCTCTCCATCACATCAAGCCAAAGTAGGACAAGCTCCACCAGAGCCTCCAAAGGATGCAGCTCCTTCCCCAGCTGTTCACAAGGCAGGCAAATCTATCTGTCCACTCTGTAAGGTGGATCTCAACATTGGCTCCAAGGAACCTCCCAACTACAACAGCTGCACTGAATGCAAGAACACTGTCTGTAACCAATGTGGATTTAATCCAATGCCAAACGTATCAGAGGTAATAAGAGCAAAGATGATCAAATTACAATTTGATGCAAACTTATAAAGGGTAAAACTAACATATGACAGCCAATAATTGAACAGGAATACACCATTAACTCTATAAATTACATATTTTGAAATGTAATGTGATTGTATGGAGGTGTTGTTAATGTTTCATATTTTAATTTGATGAATTTTCTTTTTGCAGGTTAAAGAATGGTTATGCCTGAACTGTCAGATGAAGAGAGCTCTTAGTGCATCTGAACTCACAGGACCTTCAATGAAACCTCAAAATGCAGCCAACAAAATGTCTCCATCTGCTGTACATCAGAAGTTAACAGGTCCGAACCAAGTGGAAACTCAAAAGAAGGAGTCATTGAAATCTGATGCACCTTTAAAGAAGGAGACTCCAGTGCCTGATACACTTCAAACGAAGGGGAGTCCTACACCGGGTTCTCCTCAGAAGACACAGGCAACTAAGGCTGCTAAAGGACCAGAACCTAACACACAGGCTAGCCCAACTCCTGGTCAGAAAACTCCTCTGGATATCCAGGAGGCACCAGATTCTCAGAAACCAACTGACCAGGCAAGTCAACCTGGACTAAAACAGAGTAAGGTCACCCCAGATACAAAGCAGGAGTCAGGAAATCTATTTGGCTCGAGTGGTCCTAAAAAAGGACCTGATGAGTCCAAAACAACAGAGTCCGTCACTGGGAAGATGTTTGGCTTTGGTTCCTCCATTTTCAGCTCAGCATCCACGTTGATATCATCTGCTGTTCAGGATGAATCACGTACTACCCCACCAAGCTCTCGTAAGATGTCTGCGCCAGCACAAGTCTCTCCCAAGATGTCTGCTGCTCCCAAGGTTTCTCCAAAAAGTACACCGACAGTTTCTCCCAAAATGTCGCCAGCAAGAGAGCCCAAAACTCCTGTTCAGAAACCAGAGCAGGAGAAGAAACCAGAAGAATCCCGCCAGAGCAAAGAGGACAAAGCTCCATCACAGCCTCCTAAGGCAGCATCAATCCCCCAAACATCTCCTAATGCAGGCCAGACCACCTGCCCCCTGTGTAAGGTCGAGCTTAACATTGGCTCTAAGGATGTTCCAAACTACAACACCTGCACTGAGTGCAAGACCACCGTCTGTACCCAATGTGGATTTAACCCAATGCCTATTGGAGAGGTAAGCAAAGGAATACACAACCAAGAAATTATTTCTTACATATTGTATGCATTTACACTGTATTTGCAGTCAGCATATTTGAAATTACATGTGTTTATTGATCTATGATCTGTGACCTTTTTACAAAACCTCATTGAGCTGTAGTGCAGTTTTGAGGAGTCTGTTTGTCTAAACACTCAGGTTGTTGTGAATTACTGCAATTCCTAATTCCAAAGCAGCACATAACCAGTGTCTACTGTATTTTAGGTAAAAGAGTGGCTATGTCTTAACTGCCAGATGAAAAGAGCAGTTGGAGCATCTGAGCCACCAGGGCCTCCTAAACTTAAGTCCCAAATATCACCAAGTAAAGTTCCTTCACCTCCTGCAGCCCAGTTGAAGGATTCTTCCAAACCATCTACACCACAAAGGAAGGACAGTCCAAGCCCTGCTGTACAAAAGAAGGAGCCCCCAGGAGCAGCCTCACCACAGAGAAAACCATCTGCACCATCTGTGCAGTCAGGCAAACCTGAAGCTGCTACTGCACCATTGAAACAGGCCAGTCCAGCACCTGATCGCAAAACTCCACAGGAAGGACAGAAGGCAGTTCCAAAGAAGCCACCAGATCAGGCAGGCCAACCTGGAGATAAGCAACCTGATACTGCGAAGCCTGCAGTGTCCGTGACAAATAGGCAAACTGAACATAAGCAGAGTAATGCCACAGCAGCGACACAGCAACAGTCAGGAGGCTTCTTTGGTTTTGGAGGTGGTAAAACTCAACCCAATGCTGCAAAGCCGGCAGATTCAGCAGCTGGGAAAATGTTTGGCTTTGGTTCCTCCATCTTCAGTTCTGCATCAACTTTGATTACCTCAGCTGTTCAGGACCAGCCCAAGACTACTCCACCAGTTTCTCCCAAGATGTCTCCTGCAAAAACAGTCAAGTCGCCTAGTGCACAACAGCTGGAACAGCAGAAGAAAACAGAGCCATCCCAGCAGACCAAGACACCTCCACCAGGACAGGCCAAAATTGACAAACCCCCATCAGAGCCTCCAAAGGCTGCAGCAGTCTCCCAAGCCGCTGTCAAACCAGGCCAGTCTACCTGTCCACTCTGTAAGGTTGAACTCAATGTGGGTTCAAAGGATCCACCTAACCACAATACCTGCACTGAATGCAAGAACACTGTCTGTAACCAGTGTGGATTTAACCCTATGCCAAATGAAACAGCGGTAAGACTTGAGAAAACATATATTACTTACAACAGTTTCTTTCACAGTTGACTGCAGATAGACTGTAAAGAATTACAGCACATTCACTTTTATTTGAAAGTGTCCCTTGCTGGCTCTTCATTGTGCTGAAATTATGCATGTCTACATTCATTATCTTCTTGGAACATTAAACACTGAAATCCCCATTTACTCTTTGTTACTAGATTTATAACAATTGCTCAAATATAACAGAAAAATACTCATTGCCTTACATAAATTAAAATATAATTACAGTATGCTAATTACTAAACAATTTATAATTTAACCTTTTCTTCTTTTTGTTTTTTGTTTTTTTAGGTAAAAGAGTGGCTGTGTCTCACCTGCCAGATGCAGCGGGCTCTAGGAGCAACACAGCCCCAAGGAGTGGCCTCTGTCAACTCTCAGATACCTGCAAAGCCCCAAAAGAAAGACATCATCAGCCCAGCTGAACCTGAAAAGACAGTCTCACCCCAGAGGAAACCGTCTGTAACAGCACAGCCAGCTACAGCTGAGGCTTCTACTAAGCCAGAAGGTCAAAAGCAACCCAGCCCAGTTCCTGCTCAGAAGAAGCCACAGGAGCCGCAGAAATCACCAGGTCCTAAAACACCAGACCAGACAAGGCAAACTGAACGTAAGCAGAGTAATGCCACAGCAGCAACACAGCAACAGTCAGGAGGCTTCTTTGGTTTTGGAGGTGGTAAAACTCAACCTGATGCTGCAAAGCCGGCAGATTCAGCAGCTGGGAAAATGTTCGGCTTTGGTTCTTCCATCTTCAGTTCTGCATCCACTTTGATTACCTCAGCTGTTCAGGACCAGCCCAAGACTACTCCACCAGTTTCTCCCAAGTTGTCCCCAGCAAAAGAGATTAAGTCCCCTGCTGCCCAGAAGAAAGAACTGCAGACAAAGCCAGATCAACCCCAACAGACCAAGACATCTCCTTCGGTACAGGCCAAAGTGGACAAAGCTCCATCAGAGCCTCCAAAGGCTGCAACAATCTCCCAAGCCACTGTCAAACCAGGCCAGTCTACCTGTCCACTCTGTAAGGTGGAACTCAACATGGGATCCAAAGATCCACCGATCTACAACACCTGCACTGAATGCAATAGCACTGTCTGTAACCAGTGTGGATTTAACCCCATGCCAAATGTGTCAGAAGTAAGTAAAGTCGTGTATTAATGATGGTGTCGTGTATAAATATAGAAATTCATACATACTGCCTTTTGTTGTGCTTACACACTTAAAACAAATATGTTTTTCCTCTTAGATGAAGGAGTGGTTGTGTCTGACTTGTCAGATGCAAAGAGCTCTCAAAGCTGCTGAATCAGTAGAGCCTCCACTGAAGAAACCCCAGGCATCACCCAGCAAAGTGCCCACACCTGCTGCTGCCCAGAAAGATGCTGCTGCCAATCAAAAGAAAGACATTGTTTCCACAGAAAAGGCAGAAGTGCCAGAAAAAGATCAGAAGGGCAGTCCAACACCAGGTGCACCACAAAAGAAAGAAGACACTAAACCCTCATTACAAATGGACATTACCAGAACATCAACCACTGCCACACCATCTGCAAAAGAGATCATGGGTCCTGTTTCAGCCCCAACAAAAAAGGAGAAAACTGCTTCACCACCTACCAAGAAGGCTCCCACCCCCACTGCACCTCCAGCCAAAGAGAGGACAGCTGTAGTTTCAGACCTCAACAAACCACTTCCTGCTCAAGCTCCTCCTGTCAACACGGATGTTGCAACTTCTCTCCAGCAGAAAAAAGTTATGACTCCACCAAGTTCTCCTAAACCTAAAGAAGTATCAGAAAAGAAAGAGGAGAAGGCAGAAATAGTTATGAAACCAGCTGATGAGCCAGTGAAACCCTCTGATAAAGTACAGCCCCCAACAGCTTTAAACAAAGACTCAAACGCTGTTGAAACATCGCCTGCCAAATCTGTTCCTCCAGCAGCACAGCAAACAAGTAAAGAATCAGGAGATTTCTTCAGCTTTGGTAGTCCTAAATCACAGCGTGCTGCCTCAATAACACCCGAAGCTGTCAGTGGGAAGATGATGGGATTTGGTTCATCCCTCTTCAGCTCAGCATCCACCTTGATATCATCTGCAGCTAAGGAGGAGTCCCGCACAACACCACCAAGTTCTCGTAAAATGTCTGCCCCAGCACAAGTCTCTGGCAAGGTTTCTCCAAAGTCCAGTCCCCCAGTTTCTCCAAAGATGACTTCAGCAAAGGAGGCCAAACCACCTGCTGCTCAGACACCATCAGAACAGGACAAAGTGAACAAAGGTCTATCAGAGCCTGCAAAACCAGAAGCCCCTCAAGCTGCTCCCAGAGTGGTCCAGTCTACTTGTCCACTCTGTAAGATGGAACTTAATATGGGCTCCAAAGATCCTCCCAACTACAACACCTGCACTGAATGCAAAACCACTGTCTGCAACAAATGTGGATTTAGTCCTATGCCAAGTCTAAAGGAGGTGAATATCTAACTTCATGTAGAATGAATTTCCTCATTCAGCAGTTTTGGTCAGCTGAGAGTTTAGTAAATTGTTTTGCTTTATCTCCATACATCAGCTATTGAGTCCCAGGTTTATTTTTGGATGATAATTTTCACTGTAAAATTGTTGGTTGTAAGCTGACTTTTTCTTGTCCCCACATCCTTTTAATTAGCTTTAGTGGAAATTGAAATTTGTTTTTCCAATCTCTGTTGTCATTTCCAGGAAAACAAAGTAATTAATTGGACCAAGTCAGTTGCTGTTTTGAGAGTTAAGAGATGCAAATAATGTTACTCATATTCTGTTTTTGTTTTCAGACAAAGGAATGGCTTTGTCTCAGTTGCCAGATGCAAAGGGCACTTGGAGCTTCTGAACCTCTGGGCCTTCCCATGATAAAACCTTCTCCAAGCAAAGAGGTCCCTGCTACCATACAGAAAAATAAAGAGACCCCGTTGTCAACTTCTCAGGAAGACATCCCTAAACCAGCCGCACCCAAAAATGAGCTTGTTGATGTTGCCACAACCAAAGAAACTGAATCCCCAGCTGTTGGTGCACCAGTGAAGAAAGTTACCCCTGCAGCTGCTTCATTGCCTGACAAAACTGTTCCATCCACTACAACAAAGACTGATGTTTCCCCGGCTTCACCAAAGCCTTCTGGAGAGACACCTAAAGGACAACCAGATACACCTCCACAACAGCCTCCAGTGTCTGCTCCTCCACCAGGCTCAGAGGCAGGAAAGCCATCCCCACCACAGACTCCAAAAGCTGTGACATCTACCCCTAAGCCTGCTCCTCCACCAGGCCCAGAGGCAGGGAAGCCACCCTTAGAGCAGCCTCCAAAAACTGTGACTTCTGTTGCTAAGTCTGCTCGTCTATCAGACCGAGAAGCAGGAACGCCACCCCAACAACAGCCTCCAAAAACTGCGACTTCTACTGTTAAGTCTGCTCCTCCACCAGGTCAAGAAGCGGGAAAGCCACCCCCACAACAGCCTCCAAAAACTGGTACCTCCCCAGCCAAATCTGCACCGCCAGCAGCTCAGCCTGCTAAACAGGCATCAGGAGGCTTCTTTGGTTTTGGTGGACCTAAAACCCAGCCTGCTGCTGCAAAGCCTGCTGAGTCAGTGACTGGGAAGATGTTTGGCTTTGGGTCATCCTTCTTAAGCTCTGCATCAACTTTGATAACCTCAGCTGTCCAGGATGAACCTAAAACAACACCACCTACTCCACGCAAGATGTCCGCCACAGTCTCTCCTAAAGCTACACCACCAGTCTCTCCTAAGATGCCCCCTGCCAAGGAAACCAAACCCCCTGCTGCTGCACAGAAAGCTGAGCCATCTCAACAAGCCAAGCCAGCTCCATCACCTACCCCTACACCACCAACTCCACGAAAGATGTCCACTACAGCCAATGTCTCTCCTAGAACTACACCACCAGCCTCTCCTAAAACTGTATCTGCAAAGGACACCAAGCCACCTGCTGTCCAGAAAACAGAAGAAAAGAAACCAGACAAACCACAGCAGGAAAAGACTCCTTCAACAATTCAAGCCAAAGTGGACAAAGCTCCATCAGAGACCCCCAAGGCACCATCAGACATCCAAGGTGCTCCAAAGGCAGTTCCATCCATCTGTCCACTCTGTAAGGCCAACCTCAACATGGGCTCCAAAGAACCGCCCAACTACAATACTTGCACAGAGTGCAAGACTACCGTCTGCAACCAGTGTGGATTCAGTACAATGCCAACGGTGGCAGAGGTAAATCACTATTCCCTCAAGTGTTGTCTTCACTTTAATCTCATTTTATTTATTGATTTATTTAAATGAGCATTTAACTGATTTGTTCTACAATGTTTATGGCCCTGGTAGTGGTAATTCATGATTTGATATGACATTTTAACATTGTTTAATGATCAATAGGTTGCAAGGTTTAAGTGCTTGATGTTCATTTGATGTTGATGTTTATAGGAGCCTTTTAACTGCTAGTGCCACATGCTTGCTCATCGCCACTGATTATAACTCCTTGACATTCATTTGTTTGGTAACCTCATGGTTTGCTTAACAGGTCCATCCTGTCAGTAATTATAGTATAAATGCCGGACACACAGGACTTAATTTAATTTCAACAGAATTAATCTTTCCAAAAGGCGTGATTATAGTTGATATAGCTGACAGATCTGTGAATCAATACACATGACATCAAGATGTTTGAAGTAGTAATGTATTGTGTGCGATGAAATCACTTGAAATTTGCTCTGTAATTTGTCAAAACACTGTGTTGGTCCCTGTTTTTCAGCAATGACTTACACATTCTATTGCACTTTTTCCAGGTAAAGGAATGGCTTTGTCTGAACTGCCAGATGCAGAGAGCCCTTGGAGCATCCAAGCCAACTGGACCTCCTGTAGTAAAACCTCAGCCCTCCCCAAGCAAGGTCACTGCACCTCCTGGCTCTGAAAAGAAGGATGTACAGACGTTAGTCCAGAAGGACAAGTCTGCAGAATCAGCAGCAGTCAAAAAAGAAGTCACTCAAGCAATGCCACAGAAAAAAGAAATGCCCAAAGCTGAGGCTCCAGTGCTTCCTGCAGTCCAAAAGACAGAGGCACCACGACGAGGTTCTGTTCAAAAGACACATGTCCCTCCGGGTACTGAACAAGGACAAGTCCAGGATTTGGCTGGTGTGCAACAGCCTGTTGGAAAAACCCCTCAAGTGCAGCCTTCTCAAGCTACAAAGCCAGAAGTCAAGGCAGGTCCTCCACGACAAGAAGCTGGAAAACCACCACAACAGCCTGCAAAAGCTGCGCCCCCTCCTGCCAAATCTGCACCACCACCAGCTCAGCCTGCTAAACAGGAGTCAGGAGGCTTCTTTGGTTTTGGTGGTCCAAAAACACAGCCTGCTGCTGCAAAGCCTGCTGAGTCAGTGACTGGGAAGATGTTTGGCTTTGGGTCATCTTTCTTAAGCTCTGCATCAACTTTAATAACATCAGCTGTCCAGGATGAACCTAAAACTACACCACCTACTCCACGTAAGATGTCCACTACAGTCTCTCCTAAAGCTACACCTCCAGTCTCTCCTAAGATGCCTCTTGCAAAGGACACCAAACCCCCTGCTGCTGCACAGAAAGCTGAGCCACCTCAACAGGCCAAGCCAGCTCCATCAGCACAGGCCAAAGCAGCTCCACCAGAGCCTCCAAAACCCAAAGAGGTGACCCCAGTTGCTCCTAAAGCAGGCCTGTCCACCTGTCCACTATGTAAGGTCGAACTCAACGTGGGCTCCAAGGATCCTCCCAATTACAACACCTGCACTGAATGCAAGAACACTGTCTGCAACCTTTGTGGATTTAATCCCATGCCTCACACAGGAACGGTAAGTGCAATCAGTTTCATTTTACATGTCATTTTCACATCAATTGTAATGAGATTTTTTAGTTATGGCCTTGAAACATTTTCCCTTATGATTTCCAGCTCAAGTCTTGCAATTTTATCCACTGGGTTGCCTCATGTTCAATTGACAGGAGTGATTATTATGACTTGGTGTTTTATGTTTTGCTGGACCGCGATGAGGGCACGCCAGTTTTTATTATTCATGTCTGATACTGAGCAGCAAAATACTTGTAAGGGCACTTCAGAATGACAGAGAGGCAGCACTCTTTAATCCATGTGCACGTTTGAACACCATTTAGAGCTTAAGTATCGCAAAATATGCAGTATTGTACATTAATCATGTGTAACAAACTTGAAACTGTAATGAAATACACAGGGCAGAGAGCAGACCGCACAAATTATGTAGATATGGTGATTGGTGGTGCAGTCAAAGTAGAGTAAAATGAATGGGCAAATTTATAAAAATGCAGCTGAAGAAAAATATGGGACTTGAGGTTAATGAATCAAGGTTTCATAGTGTTTAATATGCTCCACACTGCTTTTGTTTTTTTGGTAAAGGTTGGTACATGGTTTGCTTTTATGTTAACAGTAGAGCACAGCATAGCTCTATGTATTATAAATAGCTGCCTTATATTCTGTAATATGTAACATACATGTCAGAAATGTCTTTGTTTGCCCTTCAGTTAGCGATGCCACATGGACATCTGAGCATATCGATGACATTGTAGTATTATAGTTGATGAAACAGTTTATTTGCCTGTCATTGTTTATTGGAAATCACTTTTATTTGTGTTATAAAGTTAATGTACTTGTCCTTGCTGTTTGTTGTTAATTCTTGCACAGTCAAGGGCACCTTTTTGGCTTGGAGTGTGCAAGCAATGCCATTGATTTTTAGTACTTTCTTGTGTTTTTGCTTTGTGGAATATTCTTGTGTAGTGTTCCAGGGTGGAGAAAACTTGGAGATTGGCTGTCATCTCGCTTTTTAAATAGGCTGTCATCTCTCCTTTTATTTCGATTAATAATGTGGTACACAAAAGGCTGAATTTTTACTCCATTGTTGATTTAATTTCTTGGCAAAGAACATGAATTAAAAGTGTGGTGGAATAATGGATGAAGGTGCCCACAGAAGAAAAAAACATATACGGGCAGCTTGCTCGAATTGGTTTTTTAAACCGTGACTCTTAAGAGAGGTCTTTGTGCTGTTAATTAATGTGATCTATTTGAATTATTGACCTACTTTGAGAGGTCTCACAAATAATTAAAAACACGCTCAAACGCAAGCTTTGTGGTGGCTGCTATCCGTCCTTCGGAGTGGCCTGAGTTATTACATAACGCCTCATGAGAAGTCGGCTTCAGCAGACCGGCAGCACTGAAAATGTATTAACGTGATTGAGGGTTGTGCAACAGCATTAGTGAGATGGGATCTGCTGCCATAACAGAACAGGGACCAGGGAATCTCCAGCCCCCGTGAGAGATCTGAGATGACAAAGCCCTGTGATATGCCAATAAGCAGAGGTGAAACGGATTAAGTCCAACACAACACGGTGCAGTACATTAGAGCAGCAGACATTTCCTTTCAGGCCATCTGCTCTCTCACAGATCTGTGGCTCCATATAATTCAACAATTCCCCCTTTATTTTATGTGGGTGGCAGCAGCACGTCTGTGTGTGCTCTGTGCAGCCCTGCAGGTCATAGCTGAATGCGTGGCTGCTTACCCTGTGTAGCCTTTTCATTTTCTATATGTTAGGTGCAGTAACACTTGCCTCTCTGAGCAGCTCGCGTTCCCCTGTGTGGTTGGTGTGGTTTTCTGGCAAACAGTTTGAGCTGTTAATGCCTTTAATAATTTGTTCGATGGGTTTTGTTAGACCCATCTGTGATATGGTGAAAACTAGAGAGGCTTTCTATTCTTCTCTCGTAGTTACTTCAGTTAAATGGGGCTCAAATGATACAACACCGCGCTAATATTTACAATGTGTGTACAAATCAGTAATGTGCCATGTCAGTCATGCTTGTCATTTTACCTGAGGCTTTCACACAGGCCATGTTTGATGCTGATATTTCATAATGTGAGGTCCTATTAAACAGGAGTCAGTTACATTGAATCTGAAAAATACGTAACAGGACATTTATTTAAATAATGTGACCTTTTATTCAATTTTTGTCAATAGTGAATTCCTACTCTCTATGAAAGACAAAGTGTTTCCGGCTGACAGTTGTTTGCATGAGAATGGGGACAGTGTTTATGCGTTCTGTTGACTCTCAGTAAACAACACAACTCATCTCTGTCGTGATTGAGTGGCTGTGGGCATTATTTTTTTCTCTTTCTCTTTATTTCTCCCCTCAATTTGGTCTCCCAGAGACAGATTACCACACGCTCGGCCCAAATGGTGCGTTATTGTAGGAAAATAGAATACAAATAGACATAGGAGTGATGTGCCTCTTATGTAATGGACACTTCTCACATATTTCGTGGACACCAGAGAGGGGGAAGAGCCTGAGGGTAGAGGTTGGACGGGGGGAAGGGACAAGTGTGGATGATTGCTGCTGTGTGTACAACATAGATTCATTCCTCTTAATAGGTGTGGAAAACAGAAATAGCTTGGCCTTAACGCCACTGGACAGGATGAGCTGCCATACTTATTGCTGTCCTATGACCTGCTTCATCCGAAGGGGACTGTCCCTGCCAGTTCTCTATCATGGATGTGTGTGGCTTTTTCGTAGAAATGCCTCCTTTTAAAATATGAAAAGGACTTGTAGGGTTGGAAAGATGAGAGGCAAAGTGAGTGCTGGCAGCGAGACTATCCATTTTTCCTTTTGCCTTTTCTGCTTCAGCTGATGCCATCAAAAGCCTGGGAGTAACTCTTGTCTGATAAGTAGGACACACGTGTGTTGCGCTCTGCCAGCTAAAGCTTTGTGTGTGACAGATGAGACAGCATGAATGATAGTTTCTCATCTCTCACTTGAAATAGATTTGTTTAGTTTCCAAAACAAAGTCTTCACCTTATATTGCATATAAATATGAATATATTGTAAGATCCATTAAAGGAATTGTGCCATCAAAGGTAAAAGCTTCCATGAGAGACTGATTTGTGACAATATCTCTGATGCACAGGCCCAGCACCCTTAAGGTAACACTTCTAAAGTCTTTTTATTAGTGCCAAAGTTTTTATATTTTCACACGTCTATTTGCAAGATGTTTTCTGCTGTAGGCCAGACACCTTGGCCCCATGATAAGGAGGAGACACCCGTGATGCACCTAGTGACAGCGTTAAAAATAGTCACTCTGAAGAGAAACCAAGCACAGTTTACCTGCTGCATCCTCACTCCTTTTTACACCCTTTTTTGGAGGGTGCACTTAGGCAAAAATCGATCCTAGAATTGCGTGGGCTCATGCTTTAAACGTGATGCTGCTTTAGAACATTATTGAAATAATCTTATATCAATGTGAACATTGAAATTATTGTAGTATTTATTTATTCCCAATGCTCTCGGATGTTTTTCAATTCAGATTATTGTATTACTCTATTTGCTTTTTAGAGGACGGCGTATGTTTGACGTTTCATGACATTTTGGAGGCTGTGACACTTACCCCTCAAGCTGCAATGATTTCCCTGAATAAGGGAAAAGGATGTTGCTATTAAAAGACATGCTGTGGCTTTTTGCCAGAGGAGAAGGAACAGGACCTCACCTAAGAGGTTTAGGCTTTCTTAATGTTCCTGCTAGTGTCTTTTGGGGATGCACCAATGGTAAAAATCTGGGCCAATGCCGATGTGTAAAATAACATTTTAGCTAATAGCTGATAGCAATGTTTTGCTGTCGTTGTTGGTTTGTGTTTTTGTTGTTATTTATTCCCCCTTTTGTGCCAGGTAAACAAAAAATCCTCATTATAAAAAATAACTTGAATGCTTTAATGTAATTGAGCCCTTCACTACACTACCTTTGAAAGAGCTTAAATTCAATCATACAAATTTACGAAACAACCTTTAATATGATCTCTTTTCACATGAAAAATGTGTTTAAAATATGTTAGTGCTTCAAAAGCCATTTTATAAGACCGGTATATAAAATTCCCTTTTATCTTTTTTAGATTGCTGTGAAAACATCAACAAATTTCTCCTTCAAACAGCTTTTTTTTTTTTTCAAGCTTCTCACAAAAACTCAACATTACAAGATTACATTTGATAATATAACAAAATAAGTTACCTTCACCCAATACTCATTTTTACTGAATAGAGTTTGAGCGTATTGTAATCTGGGCACTAAAAAGCCCCTGAACACAAAGGTCTGACAACACCAATCTGGGAGTTTCACCCAGAGAATACTGACAGAATACACAAGTTCTTCTACACAGAGAGGAAGCAGAGACGTGACTTTCAAGTTTAAACCGCATACATTTTATTTAAATCTAAAAGAGTAATTAGCCTATTGCTTTGCTAAAAGCTGCAAAAGAGACCAGGATAGAAAAACAGATGCCTTTATTGCAACACTCAATTCTAAAGTCTAAAAATACTTCTACAACAGTACTACCAGTACACGGGGGGTAAAGGTGCCAGGGAACCCACAGGGGGAGGAAAGTGAGGGGGAGGCTCCAGAGTGCTTCACCACCACCAGTATTATGAAAAATACCCTGCACAGGTTATCTATATTCACTGCAAGAACAAAGAACCACACAGGAGTTAATACCACAGCAAAGTCACATGCAATTAAGGACTCACTTAAATACAGTTAGCTACAGGAAAGGCACAAACAACGAGAGAGCATGCAGTACATCCCCAAGGAAAATGATCTCATTTAAGCCACTTTAACCAAAAAAGAAAGGAACCAAACAAAATCATCAGTTAGTGGAAATAAAAAAGATCTAGTTAACAAATCACAAAACACATAGCAGTCAAAAGGGTAAGAAATTAGATAAGGGAGCAGACTAGGAAACACAAATAGCAGTGGCAAAGGTGCTTCTCCTTCACAAAGTGTAGCTGAGCTAGG